CTCCTATACCTCTATACCTCCTATACCTCCTATATCTCCTATACCTCCTATACCTCCTATACCTCCTATATCTCCTATACCTCCTATACCTCCTATACCTCCTACATCTCCTATACCTCTATACCTCCTATACCTATATATCTATATACCTCTTACCCTAGGACATAATCGAGTTGCCGGGGATATTCTCCGAAGACATGTAATCCATTTTTCCTTCATCGGCATCTACACCCGCACCCAACTGCAGCACTCTATCGTATTTCTATCAGAAGTTATCTAAAAATGATCCACTCTGCCTTTTGTTTTGGCATAGATATTTATTATCATATTACTTAAAGCAGAATGTAAGCGCACAGAAAAATAGAGCGTTGTTTTTACTATTCGTTCATAGAGAGAAAATGTTTCGTTAAATTTTTGATAATGAATTAAAGTACTTCCGCCTGTACTTTTGGTATGCATAAGTACAATAAACGCCATGCACTCCATATTCTACCCGTAAATAATTCGTCATTCTTAAGACCGATTTAGAACAAAAAAAAAGATTTATTAAGAAAATACAAGGAAAATATGGATAAGGATTGATATATATTGAGTCATCTATGTGAATCGGTACAATGTAAACATCAATTCATACATTTATAGTCTTGTCTCTTTCATTTCATTATTGATCAAACAATAAACTTGAGAATCTTTTTTCTTACTATTTGCATCTGTCCATGGAAAAAGTCGTTTTTGTTGATCCATTAAAGACTGAAAACAGGATAATTCAATTAATGATATACTTTCATTTATTCTTCGAAGTGAATCTTCTTGCAGTAAATTCAAAATTTGTTGCGTTTCACATCTTTTCGTGTACTTGCTCAAGTAAATTAAACTGCGACCATCACAATTCGTAAGAAGACGAGACATTTGAACAAGATTATGTCCTAATAACCAATCTTGTACTTGTGTTTGTGTCCATTCAATAATATTTTGAGACAATATCAGTGATGCTGATTTCTTCGGTGAAGATACAGATAGAGTAGAAACTACAACAGTAGTATCTTCTTTAGGTTCAACAGGCACAACATGAGTTTCAGATGTATTTGCAACTTTAAGTTCTTTAAATAATAATTCCATTGCTCGAAGAAATTCATATTTATTAAAATCAACATATAATAATTGACCAATAAGAAACAAAAGCCATCCATCAGGTTTATAATGTTTTTCTACAATAATTGGAATTATTTTACGTTGCTTTTGGTATGCATAATTTGCTTCAGCTCGACAATAATTACTTTTTTGATATTGTTCACTCATACAAATAATAATTGTATGTGATTGCTCAATAGCTTGTGCCATTGCATCCATAACATTTCCATGCATATGATCAAAATCAATCCATACACGATAACCAGATTTAATTAATTCATCATAGATTTGTTTACAGAGGACTTCTTCTTTATGTGAATAACTAATCATAATATCAAATGTTTTTTCATTTTTGATTTTTGATGTTGGACGATTTTCATGATTTATTTCTAGATTCCATAGAATTCCCTGAATCATTTTACACATTTGTTCATTATCACATTCTTTGGCTAGCACAGTTAATTTGAACATGAATGATAAATTAGATCGAATTTGTTGTTGAATATTTTGATTAAATGAAAGTGCCCATATAATATCGTATACAATTAGATATTCATTGGTCATTTCAATGAAAAGTGGTATTGCATTTAATTCAGCCATTCTTTGTTGAACGTAGTCCTTTTTTGATAAATTTATAAGCCCTGAAAAAAAATCCTTTAACTGTATTTAATGAAGATATTGATTCGCTTTCGAATCAGTTAATATGACGATGAGTCTAT